GGCACCTTTAGGTCTAAACTCAAGATTTATTCTTTAGACAGGCTTTTTAAAACCATGTGGGGACATTTTTCCTCTTGTTTTCATGTTTTCTTTTCTTGTGCTTTTACTGTAAAGTGGGCACCTCAGTTGGTTATCAGGCGCTATCATCAATCAATCAATGAATGAAATGCATAAATAAATAGTGAGAACAGATGGTTGTAATTGCTAATAAAGATTTATTGAATGTTTGTTTAATAATTAGTAAAGCATAAAGGTTTTAAAGCAGCAGCTGAAATATGACATGTTGATAACAACAGTTTATAAATGAGAGTATTACACTTTACATTGGGGAAGAGATTTTTTGTATTTATTGAACTTTCCTGACATCTAGTGGTTAAAACTATTTATGGAGTGAACAGCTTTCATGTTAAATTCTGCAAATCCCTTTGAAAAGTTCTCAGTTAGCTTAAATTTATACCTCAACTTTTTGTCAGTAGTAGAATATTTTCTGTAAGTCTGATTTTCTCATGTTTCTTAGTTTGTAAACTGAGATGTTGGAGGAGAAAACTCCTAAACAGAAGCTCAACCTCCTTGAGTTAAAACTTACTGCCCGAGTTTACTCACAATTATATTTACTGCCTGCTGTCAAACAGTAGCTAAATTAGGTGGAGACTGTCAGTTTGAAAATGAAACATTTCGACCTTTAGATGGGGGCAAAGCTTCCAGTGTGAGCTTTGATTTGTTTTTGTCTGATGCAGGCCCTGCAGGCACCTTCCTGCAGGTTTCACATGTTTCCCTCATCAGCTGGCCTTCAACTTCTAAAGCAGGGGTGCCCAAACATTTTCCCCGAGGGGGGCCAAAATGAAAATCTATCCATGGCTGCGGGCCAAATGCAGTTATATAATACATGAAATACAAATACGTTTTAAAAGTAAAGTCATTTATTTTTAACGATTAAGCTGTGCAATGGCCATCTTTTGTTTTAGTCTGTGCACTTGGAGAAAGTCTGCCATACGCTCAAGTAGCAAAGGCTCATGGGACATATCATAAATTGATAAAATATGAGTTTTTGTGGCCTTATAAAGTGTGCAAATCTACATGCGGGGTTAAATCTGATCTAAATATTTCTTGTTGTCGTTTCATGTTTCATGTTTAATCCTAATAAATCAAAGATATGTCAGCACCATGACTGAAAACTACCTTCACTACAGCCCTTTTATATAGTCATTTGACCAATGGAAATACTGTGTTTCTACCTAAAGGATAACAGGTTACAACCTTGTATCTTTGGCAACTGTTGGTGGGCCAAATCAAATGGCTTGGCGGGCCAAATTTGGCCCGCGGGCCCCACTTTGGGCTCCTCTGTTCTAAAGCTTGTTTCGTTCATTTAAATCAAGCACAGTTTGTTACATGCTTCCCCTTGCTCAAGAATTCGTTTTTTCCTTGAACTCTTGTTAGACTGAATAAATTTGGTTAGAAAGTTTTTTGTTAATAAGCAACTAAATTGACTGTTTCTTTGTTTTGACGCACCTGATTTGATTGACAGTGCGATCAACAGGCAGGGAAACAAATGAACCGTGCAGAAAATTTACCTCTTTATACASGTCGCTTGGGTGTGCCTTTTTTATGTCTTTTATGTGTCTTTTTTATTTTGTCGTTTCATGCAACATTTCGTCTCCGTTTGCATATTTCTGCTTTTTTTCTGTTCATTTTTCTGCTCAGTGTTACTTTTCTCCCTTTTCTTCCTCAAAACATTCCAGCAAACACTGAAGGTTCAGCTATTATTCAGCTCACTTTCAAATTCTTCAGATTTCAGCAGCCTTTCAGCTATTTTTTTTTGTGCTAAAAACATCAACAAGTCCAAAACCTTCTAATATAACTCGACAGTTTAACTATTCAAATATTTCAGCTTCTTCACAAAGTCATTCARGCTGGATTTTTACATGAAATGCACATTATTTTTATTCATATAGTTTTGATCTTTACTCTGAAACAGTTTGGAAGAACATGTGCTCATAAATCCAGTTTAAATTTGAATGCGTGCTGTCTGTGTTGGCATGAACTCATCCACAGAGCAGCTTCTGCAGCAGGAAACCCTGAAGGTGTCAGCTTTCATCATAAACAAAGAGCACTCTTGTTCGAACTGGATTTTAAAGCTCTCGCAATAATTGCAGATTAATGTTGAAKCCATTAATGGCAACAGGTCTTTAGGAGCTGTCTCCACCTTCATCACGAACTGTGGGTGGTCCTGTTAGTAAAATGTAAAGGTTTACAACAAAAACCTGGAATGCAGATTTGAGTCAATCTTCAGAATTAGTTTGTGTCTCACAGAAACCTGATCCTGAAAATCATTTGAGTAGAAACAGCTCGCATTCAATTCAATTAAAMAGATTTTCTTATCTTACCCAGGCATGACATAAAAGCACGTGATTGGCATTTCAACCTCAGCTCACATAAACACATGCAGTACTTTTTACTTCCACCAGATGGCAGAAAYTAACTGAAGGTTGTTTATTTTAAACTCTGTTATGTTCTGTGGTCAGATGATTTTAAAACGTGTTTTTTATGTACTGTATAATTGACTTTATGTGAGGTTTATTACAGTTTTTTTTTTAGGAGAGAACAGCTTATGACAGGTCATGTTAGAAAGTTTCACACAGATGTACTGATGCGAAACTAAGCACAACATGCCGAGACAACAGATTTCAAAAAGTATTTTTTAAACAAAATCCAAAGTTTTCAAATGAAAACAAATCAAGTTTTTTTTCTAGTTTTACATTTAATTTCATAATTATTACAAATCACTGGGCTTATTGGTTTATATTACTTTTTTAAAAAGGGGACACAAACAAAATCCACTTTTTTTGCTGTTAAATGCATTTTGTTGTCTTTGGAGTTTCAAGGACTGCAGACACTTTGAATTTAGTTTCTGCCGGTGTTGCATAGAAATATTTATATTCTGTTTGGGTCATATTTTTTTAACCCGTTTGGTTTGTTTCTATTTTCTACGTAAGATGTTCCTTGTTGACATCTTTTAATTTATTTGTAAATAAAAAGTTTCTGCGCAGCTATATAGTCATAAACCCCTCGATCAAAATAGAATGGACCAGTCTGGAAGCTGGAGGGGGGCGGGGCATGGGATTTAAAGAGACAGCCTCAAAACAAGTTGATAGGAGACACAGCTCAGAAAAGGGGAGGGGCTTGTGGAGTTACAATAAGGAGGAATTCAGACCAAAGCATTGCAGCGACACATTATATAGACCCCAACTGAAGGGTTTAATGTGAAAAGGGATTTAAAAGAATATTACACTCACCGGCCACTTTATTAGGTACACCACGCTAGTAACGGGTTGGACCCCGTTTTGCCTTCAGAACTGCCTCATTTCTTCGTGGCATAGATTCAACAAGGTGCTGGAAGCATTCCTCAGAGATTTTGGTCCATATTGACATGATGGCATCACACAGTTGCCGCAGATTTGTCGGCTGCACATCCATGATGTGAATCACCACATCCCAAAGATGCTCTATTGGATTGAGATCTGGTGACTGTGGAGGCCATTTGAGTACAGTGAAC